GGAAGGCCAGACGACGCAACAGTCCCAGAGGCCCGTGTGCGTGTGCGTGTGTGCGTGTGTGTCACTGTGTGTGTGTGTGTGTGTGTGTGTGTGTGTGTGAGGTGTGTGTGTGTGTGTGTGTGTGTGTGTGTGTGTGTGTGTGTGTGTGTGTGTGCAGGCTAAAATTAGTGGCGGTCAATTCATCAGCCTTGCAAGCTGTTGAATGGTGTAATCCCAGCACAAGTTGCTATGTCTAACATACATGTAGCTGTTCGCTATCATCGCTTCCGCGATGGGCAGGTCTGAGGTCTGAGGTGTGTGTGTGTGTGTGTGTGTGTGTGTGTGTGTGTGTGTGTGTGTGTGTGTCCCATATGGTGCAGTGGTATGTGCAGCGATTTCCAATCGATAGATTGCGGGTTCGATTCCCGACGATTATGGTCACACACGTCTTTCTTCTCTTTCTCAGACTCTTCCTGACTATTCTTTCATTCTCCTGGGTGGTTACCAACAGCCAGTGCATGCCGGAGTATGTGGTGTGATGTGTGTGCGGAAAAAAATGAAAAGACCAAAAATAGGGATTCACTGGCCAGAAAATGTCACTCCAAATAGCTGTATGGTGTAGACCAGGCTGAATAGTGACGGTCAATTCTTCAGCCTTGCAAGCTGTTGAATGGTGTAATCCCAGCACAAGTTGCGCATTGCTATTATCGCCTCCGGCGATGGGCGTCAAAGGTCAAAGGTGTGTGTTGAATGGTGTAATCCCAGCACAAGTAACAGTTGCTATGTCTAAAATAGCTGTTCGCTATCATCGCTTCCGCGATGGGCAGGTCTGAGGTGTGTGTGTGTGTGTGTTTAAAAGTCAAGTGAGTGAAACAGTCTGAAAGAGCTGAGCATGAGGCCGAGGAGCATCAAAGTATCAAAAGTTATCATCAGCTGATCACGTACTAGCACTGTAAATCTCTGATCGTGATCATGAATTCATGGTGCCGTGAGTCCGTGACCACTGCCACTGGTGATCGTCTCAACTGACTCGCGAATCCTCTCCCATTCCCAACTGTTACTCCAAGAAAAGCACCAGCCACCAGCTACCAGTTAGCCACAAAGCTGACAGGATGGCTTTCGTGCAGGATTTCATGCAGGGAACGCAAAGTATAGTCTCACCATTTGTTGTGGGCGACCAGGAGGTACACAAGTCACTAGTACATCTACATGACGTGATTGTACTAGTGACTTGTGATTCGAAGCCCCATTGTGTGCAGACAGTTAGTCGTTTATGCCAAATTATGGTGCACACCAGTTATGATGTCAAGTACACTGTAGTACGACTATGGCGTGGACTGGAGCATCAACGCCAATCACAACAAGTACCGTAGAATTGTAGGCACTATGACAGTATGACTATGACTGTATGAGGAGGAAGGAAGCAGCAACAAAGCCTGCTGTCCTGACCAGGGCTCAGACGCAACGAATAAAGTCGTGCATTTCAATGGTTGAACTAGTAGTAGTCAAGATCATAACTGTCATGATCTTGGCGTGTTGTACTGAGACCTTTGCATGCAGTGTCCCCGCGGTACGCGGTGCGGACCGTGTGTGGGGAGCACTTGAGAATACAATTGTCACAGTGAGAAAGCGTACTGAGACCTTTGCATGCAGTGTCCCTGCGGTACGCGGTGCGGACCGTGTGCGGGGAGCACTTGAGAATACAATGTAATCCTGTTGTCACAGTGAGAAAGGACGTAGCTGGACGTTGGTCACGAAACTGCTCGGCCGGCCATCGATGCATCGGCAAGGCCACATAACCAGTATTAAAGTCGTTACTCTTTAGTTGGATGTGCAGCCAGTTTTGTTCAATGCCATTATCATTCCTATATCCTATAATCAGTTCCGATCTACTGCACCCGATGCCGCTGGCTGGAGACAAGATTTCTCATTTTCTTTGTGTTCCCGTTGGAAACAGTTGCTTTCTTTCCCTGCGCGACCCTGTTGTCGAAGTAGCTTTCAGGTTTGCTATTCTGGAAATACACGAGTAGCTGCTGGAATATTACCTACTAGTATCACTGTATCAGTATCAGTCGCGATGCCGCTGTCAGAGGATCTCCTCCACCCTTCTGCGACGTCTGAGAAGCGGAAGCACAAGCTGAAGCGTCTAGTGCAGCGTCCCAACTCCTTCTTCATGGATGTCAAGTGTCGCGGCTGTTTCAAGATCACAGTCGTCTTCAGCCATGCGCAAACCGTGGTGGTCTGCAGAAGCTGCTCGACGATTCTTTGCCAACCTACCGGTGGACGGGCACGCCTGAGTGAGGGCTGCTCCTACCGAGTAAAGCGGAACACGGTGTAGAATGCAGCTGGGAGACGCTATGGTTGTAATCATGGCCCTTGTAATCGCACCTAACGGATTACCTCTGCCTCTCTGGATGCTGCAATGGTTATGTTCGTATCATAGCATGGACAGTACTGACGACTCGGATAGCTCTATGCAGCTACTAAGTACTATGCCTGCACTGAGATGGCATTCGTATCTCAGGCACTGTGTCTGGAGGAGGCCTTGACTTGAGGCAGGTGACATTGAACAGTCTTGGGGAAGGTCAATGTTGGTAGGGCGGACATTGGAACGTGTATAGGAAGACTTCACTATTTCCGTACCAGTTAAATGCCAAAGTAAAAAAAGTAAAGTATTTAAAGGTTAGCACGTCCGCGAAATGCCAAAGTGCTAGTCACTATAACTTTTAAACCGTTTATAAGTATCAACTCTTGGCTCCAGCAGGACTTATTTGTACAGGTGATGTACATGATAATTATAACCCAATACTAGTTCAATACTAGTATTAGATAAACCTTGTTATAGTTCACACATGTTGTTAGTTTGACAGCATGAAACAAGGTGGAGGACACTGTGTTCGGAAACAGTGACCTTACTACTAGTACTACAAAGTACAATACAACCATCCACGGTTGGCGGAGCCCCGGTCCGTTGGGACCATCTGAACCATTAATGCATTATGGGTGTTGAACCCGGTTCTGACCCTCGCTATGCTAGGGAAGTTTTTAGACTTCTTCTTACGTCAGTCGTGTATTCTTTGATCCCATGACGTCCCTCTCTCAGCGCGTCAGCTGTCAACAGTCACTGTCACTACCATTACAATTTACACTGTCGTGAGAAGGTACTACTACTAGTACTAGGTGCTCTCTGTAGACGAAGGTGGTGATGTTCCGATCCGGCCATGTGATGTACAATATGTACACGTACATTTTCTACAGGACCTTAAAGTTTAGCCTAAAGGTCCTGTAGAAAATGTACGCCTAGGCTACACACGACATTATAAGCACAGAAAAAAGAACAAGAAGAAAGCGTAGTAAAGAAGCTAGTTGTAAACCCGATGCCTGAGGCCTTTCGTTAGGCATTATTTCTCTACTCAAGTTAGTTATTGGATTTTTTATACATGTATTTGTAGATGTTTCCTTCCCACTAAAGCCCCATTCACTTGAATTCTGATCCCATAGCATAGGGCCAGACTGGCCTATGTGTATGTGTGGCCTTGGAGGATATCATGCAAGAGAGTGCAAAGCCTAGTGACCATGGTGACGTTGGTATGGTGATGTTGGTTATCACAATCATGGTTATTCTTTAGTACTCACAATAGTATTATTAATTATTTGTTGTGGGTGACAACGAGCCAGTAGTACTAGTACTGTATCTAGTCTTTAGTGTGCTTGTGTAGTTTGTACAATGATTAACCCTTTGTGTACCAGCCCCATCTCGAACCGTAACGTACGTTACGGTTCGACGCACCGCACTGCGCCGCGCCGTTTGGCGGCGTCCTTGTTCCGATCGACTCGCGGTTTTTTGCGCTGGGCAGCTGAGATCCCACTGCAGATTTTGATGTATGATGTGGGTGGGTTGCCATTTGAAAGTATGGAGAACGATCGAGGCGAAAAGTGCGCTTTGCAATTTCAGCGCTCTGCGATATATTTTCGCAATTTCGATCGTGTTTTCGTTCGGTTACGCTGCTTGTATCTGGAATATAGCTTGCTCTAGCTGTTGTCGATGTCTACTAGTGATGGTGAACGCCAGGAGAGAGTTGTAGTAGCGATATAATCTCAGGATCTGAATCGAAAATGAGAATTTCCATCGCTGAAGCCATTGCAGTATTCGCTCTCCAAGCAGCAGCGAGAGGGAGCGCAGCGATGGCCTGAAATAATCAAGGCAGGTGAATTTCCTCACCCATCGACTATTCCTGGTCTTCTCAATCGCCAATACCCTCGCTGGACGCAAGTAGATAAGTGAAAAGTACATATTCAAATCTGACACAATTTCAATAATTTGAAATTTTGATGCAATTGTTTGGCATCTGGTATTCACGCAATATGGCTCTTTTCCGTCCATTTCGCTATTGTTGAAGCGTGCAACTGGCGGCTATACACTAGTACAGTGGTCTCCTGTTGCTCTGTGTGAAGAAGGGCAATGTCAGCAAGTATATTCACGATTCCAAGTACACGGATCTAAATTGTCAGGAATATGGACAATTGACTCAGAAATAGATATTCCAGGTATGGCCTGTATCTGTAGTTGTGTGCTCGGTCAAAATATTTTCTTACCTGGACACATTGATACCAACAGATTCAGAAAAACATAACTTGCACATACAAAATGTGTCTTAGTTTTATGCTATAGGTCCATCATTACCGATGAGTACCCCGCGCATACATTAGATGCCTGGTACACAAAGGGTTAATATGTAGTCTAGTCTTGTAATACTTCGAAGCTCCGTCGTGTTGACAACAGCATGACTGTACATTTACATGATGAGTGTACATCAGGTAGGTCTACATGATTGTATCATCAAGAATAATAAGCCCCCGGGGGTATCATGTGTATGGACTATGCCGGAGTCTATGGCCATAATTATGGTGCGCACGTATAATGGATTGTAGTACTAGTAGTACATGGGGGCTCAATGCCATTCACATTAATATTATGTAGGCACTATGCGCAGCTCAGTGGCACGAGGAAGGAAGCAGCAACAACGCCTGCCAGTGCCGACAAGTACTTTGACTAGTTGGAGGCAACCAAGTACAGTGGGTCTTTTCAATAGTTGAACGATCATCTTGGTGGGTGGACCTTTCATTGTTTTTGTCCTTTGCCAGAGTCCTCAGTGCAGTGACAGGGTGCGGGGAGCACTTGAGATTACGCTGTTGAGTTAAAAATAATTAGTTAGTTTATCAACGTTAGTCGGTACGTGCTCGGTCATTGACAATGCCACGTCGCCAGTCTAGGAAAGCTTGCTTCGTGCGAGCAGATTTCTCACTTTCTTTGTGTTCCTGTCGGAAACAGTCGCTTTCTTTGAATCCCTGTGCGGCCCTGTTGTCAAAGTAGCTTTCAGGTTTGCTATCCTGGAAAGACAAGTAGCTGCTGGAATACCTACCAGTCGTGATGCCGCTGTCAGAGGATCTCCTTCACCCTTCTGCGACGTCTGAGAAGTGGAAGCACAAGCTGAAGCGTCTAGTGCAGCGTCCCAACTCCTTCTTCATGGATGTCAAGTGTCGCGGCTGTTTCAAGACCACAGTCGTCTTCAGCCATACACAAACCGTGGTGGTCTGCAGAAGCTGCTCAACGATTCTTTGCCAACCTACCGGCGGACGGGTACGCCTGACCGAGGGCTGCTCCTACCGAGTAAAACTTGCGGAACTTGTAGGATGCAGCTGGGCGACGTTATGGTTGCAATCACGGCACTTGTAAATTTTATAATCGCACCAAACGCCTCTGGATGCTGCAATGATTATGTTCGTAGCATAGCATGGACGACTCGGATAGCACTATGCAGCTACTAAGAACTATGCCTGCACTGCGATGACATTCGTATCTCTACTCTACAGGTACTGTGTCTGGAGGATGCCTTGACTTGAGACGGGCGATATTGAACAGTCTTGGGGAAGCCCAATGTTGGGGGGAGGAAGGCATCAGCGGGAAGATTTCACTCTTCCCGTACCAGCAAACGCTAAAGTGCTAGCTACTGACTAGTACTGCACAGAACATAATTCCATTGGCACTGATAGTGATACATATCCTTGTACATAGTTGATTATGATTAAGAACGTTATCCTGCAGCCTGTATGCATGTACATATGAATCCAGCCAGTGGCGATACGTAGGATTCAAAGGGCCCTGAGCTGAAAGTGATGCTGAAGGAGATACAGCAATTTGTTAACTTGAAATCCAGCTATACCTAGTAGTTTGTAATCTATCAGTGAAGCGCATAGAGTCGGCTGTGGGGCAACACAGGTATACAGTTGTCCCTTTATTCGTCCTTCACATCAATGAAAAGAACAACTCATAGGATTCATTGCGTTCTCGGTCTCCCTATCTTTGGAAGTCTGCACACAGTCAGCCTCAGCTGCCCATCGTGTGTGCGTGCGTATATACATGTGTGTGTGGTGTGTGTGTTTGTGTGTGTGTGTGCTTTCCAGCACAAGCTGCTATGGCTTCTGCTGTAGCATCGCTATCATCGCCTCCGGCGATGGGCGTCCAATGGTCCAATGGTGTGTGTGAGCATGTTGTGTTCATGCTCACTCGTACTCCGAGTCCGGTTGATTTCAGAGTTTTGTCTGTACAGGATTCCTACTCATGTATAGTCATGATACGAAGCACCCCTGAGCTCATGAGGCCGAATTTCATTTACTGATATTCGTACTTGAAGTACTTCATAACAGGGATCGATATACTGAATTGACTCTTCATAGATATAATAATTATATCTATCAAGAGTCAATTCAGTATATATTATAATGATGTGTCACCTGCATGATCGTAGCCTTTAGATAGCCAGTAGTGGAACACACCACTGAAAGAAACCGTGTGTTGTTTCCACCAGAGAGTGTTTTACGACTCTCTCGTTTCCATGCCCACAGCCGGCTGCTGGTGGCTTAAAGTTATACCCACCTGGCTGGACTGAAACTCAGCTGTCAAGGCTACTGGCAATTGTATTGCCCGACTCCTATATTCTAGTCTTAGTTGGCATGACTATCAGCTATTGACATGCAAAAGTACAAGCAAGCCGCAATTTTATAGCCACCATAATTATTATTATGATCTGAATCAATGGGGTCCTGGTTTCCACAACTCCCTGAATCAACCCCTTGTTTACAGTGACTTGTATTGTGATACTGCTCGGATGTGGAGCTAACTAACTTAGCATACGCGGCTCCAGAATCCTCAACTGCAGTACATGTATAACACTGGGTGACCTGCATCCAGCTAACTTACTTATACCTATAGTGGCAACTTGCACATTCATGAGACTGCATGTGTCACAACTAATCACGAGTCCAATGTTATGTACAGCGTGGAATTGCCCATTACAGGGCGTTATGGTGAGGAAGGTACAAACTGAGAGCGTTATAAATATCAAGGCACTGTGTGTACAGGCAATGCTAGCTGTAATTCGTTGCTGCCGTCTTTAAATGAAGAAGAAAAAAAAACTATTACAAATGCGAATGTCCTCACAGAAGTGCCGCCCGGGCAGGGTACTAGGTGCAGCTATAGTCCACAGACTGTGCAGGAAACATACTGGAGAGAGGGAAGAATATGGTACGGTGTGGTTTGCGAGTATCAACACAGCAGTTTAAAAAGGAAAGAAAAAGAAGGTCAATCCACTGTTTCAAAGCCAGCTTTGAAACAGCGCGTTCTGCAGCGTTCAGCACGGAGATTAACTGCTAGCATCAGCCATATAGAAGCAGCAGAATAGCAGCAAAAAGACATGCAGCGCATCAAGCTGCCGTAGCGTAAGGTGGTCACACAATGACAGTATAAGTAAATGTTATATTTATAACTCAACAGAATAGATCAGCGCCACTGACTGTGCTCCATGAAGGATCAGGTCAACAGTAGGAGATCAGAGTGGTATCAGAAACTAGCTGCTGAATATTCAGCATCAAAGAATCACACAGCAACAGAGCACATGAACTGTCATACCTTGCATCCTGTGCACCACCTGCGCAGTGGTGAGTGTCGCCGGTGACAGTGATGATTGGTGTCCCATACTAGTGCAGTGATCAGTTCAAGTCAGGTCATTGTCCACACTCAGTACACGTGTTCTGGGTCTCAATTCCACCCACGAAACAAGTGTTAGTAACAGCATTACTCGGAGCTGCACAAAATATCAGCTCTTCTCAACGTCAAGGTCAAAACAGTTGGCTGCTGCCTTGTTGGGTTCCTCACATCGTGTATCTTCTCTGTTAGCATCGTCTTCTGCCTCACCACATTCTCCACCCATCACATCCACCTCTTCTTCTTCTTCATCATCTGCATCGCTTCCCTCCTCCTCCTCTTCTTCTTCATCATCATCCTCCTCGCTTGTCTCAACTTCTTCCTCCGTTGGTTCACCATACATATAGAGACGGTTGCGATTGACAAACAAATCAGAATCGTCCTGCTCCTCTTCTGACTCAGATGGCGATGATGCATTACAGCCACCACCAGCCGCAGTATCAGCAAGCGCAGATGCTTCCATTTCTTGCCCGGCTTGCTTTGAAGCTGCAGCTTCATCAGCTTCGGCTTTTCGCTTGGCTTCTTCGTGCCTATCCACCGCTGCAATGCGTTTCTGGTACTGTCCCTTGAATGGAGGTTCAAACACTTTGGGCCAAAGACAATTCTCTTGCAAGTGTTGCACATGTTCAGGAAATAAAACATGAACCACTTCTGCCTTTACCTTCTTGCCTTCAGCTATAGGCTCCACGATAAGGTATTGGCCCCTTTGGATCCAAATCTTCTTTCTAAATTTCGACGGTATGCTGACGATGTACTTCTCTTCAGTCGTGGCCTTCACATCTATCAGGTAGTTACTTCTATGACATACCGCCCTGACGATCTCCTGGTCGGCTTCAGGCATGAAGTAGTGATCCACAAGCTCACGAACGACATGCTTCAGTTTAGTCTTCTCTGACGTGAACACCCTTGCTCTACCCTGCGTCAGCGACGTGTCCATGGCTGCTGCGATGGATAGCTTGGATTTCAGCTAGATTCAAAGCACACCAGTACTATTGCTAGACCGCAAATGCTTGCAATCTACAAACTTTTTATAGAAACTGATATTCCACGTTTGCTCTTCTTCTCCAAGCAAGTACTGAAGCAGCTCATCCAAATCGCGATGATTTATACTGTAGTACAGTGGCTATTTCCACGCAATCCACCCACGATCATGCCTTCATGGTGCTGTGACTGGTGATCATTTCAACTGACACGCGAATCCTCTCCCAACTGTTACTCCAAGAAAAGCACCAGCCACCAGCTACCGGTTAGCCACAAAGCTGACAGGATGGCTTTCGTGTAGCATTTCATGCAGAGAGCGCAAAGTAGTCTCACCATTAATTTTGTTGTGGGCGACAAGGAGGTACACACGACACTAGTATGTACTAGTGTTGTGGTTCGAAGCCCCATTGTGTGCAGACACTTAACGTCTTTTATGGTGCACACCAGTCATGAATCATGATGTCAAGTACATAGTACGACTATGTAGTCGTGGAGCATCAATGCCAATCACAACAAGTACCGTAGAATGTAGGCACTATGACAGTATGACTGTGAGGAGGAAGGAAGCAGCAACAAGAAAGCCTGCTGTCCTGACCAGGGCTCAGACGCAACGAATAAAGTCATGCATTTCAATGGTTGAACTAGTAATCACAATCATGACTTTCATGATCTTGGCGTGTTGTACTGAGACCTTTTCATGCAGTGTCCCTGCGGTACGCGGTGCGGACCGTGTGCGGGGAGCACTTGAGAATACAATGTCACAGTGAGAAAGGTAGCTGGACGTTGGTCACGAAACTGCTCCGCCGGCCATCGATGCACCGGCAAGGCCACATCACCAGTACAGTCTCTGAGAGAAGCTAGCTTCGTACGAGAAGCCACTACAAAATGTCCTTCTACTTAAAATCTTTACTCTTTAGTTGGATGGGAAGCCATTTTTGTTCAATGCCATTATCATTCCCATATCCTATAATCAGTTCCGATCTACTGCACCCGATGCCGCTGGCTTGAGACAAGATTTCTCATTTTCTTTGTGTTCCCGTTGGAAACAGTTGCTTTCTTTCCCTGCGCGACCCTGTTGTCGAAGTAGCTTTCAGGTTTGCTATTCTGGAAATACATGAGTAGCTGCTGGAATATTACCTATCACTGTATCAGTATCAGTCGCGATGCCGCTGTCAGAGGATCTCCTCCACCCTTCTGCGACGTCTGAAGCGGAAGCACAAGCTGAAGCGTCTAGTGCAGCGTCCCAACTCCTTCTTCATGGATGTCAAGTGTCGCGGCTGTTTCAAAATCACAGTCGTCTTCAGCCATGCGCAAACCGTGGTGGTCTGCAGAAGCTGCTCGACGATTCTTTGCCAACCTACCGGTGGACGGGCACGCCTGAGTGAGGGCTGCTCCTACCGAGTAAAGCGGAACACGGTGTAGAATGCAGCTGGGAGACGCTATGGTTGTAATCATGGCACTTGTAATCGCACCTAACGGATTACCTCTGCCTCTCTGGATGCATGCAATGGTTATGTTCGTATCATAGCATGGACAGTACTGACGACTCGGATAGCTCTATGCAGCTACTAAGTACTATGCCTGCACTGAGATGGCATTCGTATCTCAGGCACTGTGTCTGGAGGAGGCCTTGACTTGAGGCAGGTGACATTGAACAGTCTCGGGGAAGGTCAATGTTGGTAGGGCGGACATAAGAACGTGTATAGGAAGACTTCACTATTTCCGTACCAGTTTATTAAATGCCAAAGTAAAAAAGTAAAGTATTTAAAACTTAAAAGTTAGCACGTCCGCGAAATGCCAAAGTACTAGTCACTATAACTTTTAAACCGTTTATAAGTATCAACTCTTGGCTCCAGCAGGACTTATTTGTACAGGTGATGTACATGATAATTATAACCCAATATTAGATAAACCTTGTTATAGTTCACACATGTTGTTAGTTTGACAGCATGAAACAAGTTGGAGGACACTGTGTTCGGAAACAGTGACCTTTCTACAATACAACCATCCACGGTTGGCAGAGCCCCGGTCCGTTGGGATCATCTGAACCATTATGGGTGTTGAACCCGGTTCTGACCCTCGCTATGCTAGGGGAGTTTTTAGACTTCTTCTTTACGTCAGTCGTGTATTCTTTGATCCCATGACGTCCCTCTCTCAGCGCGTCAGCTGTCAACAGTCACTGTCACTACCATTAGTGGCATTACAATTTACACTGTCGTGAGAAGTACTAGGTGCTCTCTGTAGACGAAGGTGGTGATGTCCCGACCCGGCCAATTGATGTACGCCAAGGCTAAATATACGCCTAGGCTACTCACGACATTATACACCGAAAAAATAATAAGAAGAAAGCGTAGCAAAGAAGCTAGTTGTAAACCCGATGCCTGAGGCCTTTCGTTAGGCATTATTTCTCTACTCAAGTTAGTCATGGGGAGACCATTATCGACAAAAGCAGCACACCTTCCCATCGTCACCGCAGTTTTCACCATTCGCCCATCTGCAAGTTCTCGCCCGCAGGCAACGGTCATACGTTGACCGCAGAATCATGGAGGCACTATTCATGAGGAAGAGGAAGCCGGCAGTGAACAGTGACAATGGTTGGCGACTGTTGGGTGATGTGTAAATATGTCTGTCATTACCATACTTTGTGCAAGAATGTGTGCACTGTGTGTGTGTGTATGTATGTGTGTGAGTTGCTATGTCTAACATAGCTGTTCGCTATCATCGCTTCCGCGATGGGCAGGTCTGAGGTCTGAGGTGTGTGAGTGTTGCTAGAAGTGTGTATTGTTCTGCTTTGTACTCACGCTAGTAATCCTGCACTATCACTGCACTATATTTTCACTTCATACATATCACACAGAATTATAATCTCGCTTCCTGTGGTATTGCAACATTTTACGCTATACCATCACACTTTGGCCACTAGTACTTGTCACATATATATAAACCCCTGTTCTGTCTACAGTAAACTTATTCCTGATGATGGGCCTTGCCCGAAAATTTGAGCTAATGTATATCAATTGCAGTGTAGCCTAGAGACCGTTAGAGAGAGTGTGTACAAGGTGTGTGTACAGGATGTATGGATTCAAGTTAGTTATTGGATTTTTTTATACATGTACTTGTAGATGTTTCCTTCTCACTAAAGCCCCGGCCCCATTCACTTGAACTCTGGTCCCATAGCATAGGGCCAGACTGGCCTATGTCACTTATGTGTGGCCTTGGAGGATATCAATGATTATCATGCAAGAGAGTGCAAAGCCTAGTGACCATGGTAACGTTGGTCTGGTGATGTTGGTTATCACAATCATGGTTATTCTTTAGTACTCGCAATAGTATTATTAATTATTTGTTGTGGGTGACAACGAGCCAGTAGTACTAGTACTGTATCTAGTCTTTAGTGTGCTTGTGTAGTTTGTACAATGATTATGTAGTCTAGTCTTGTAATACTTCGAAGCTCCGTCGTGTTGACAACAGCATGACTGTACATTTACATGATGAGTGTACATCAGGTAGGTCTACATGATTGTATCATCAAGAATAATAAGCCCCCGGGGGTATCATGTGTATGGACTATGCCGGAGTCTATGGCCATATGGTGCGCACGTATATTATGTATATAGTACTAGTACTAGTAGTACATGGGGGCTCAATGCCATTCGTATCTAATATTGACTGAGTACGAGGTCAATAATAATTATAGGAAATAAAAGCCTAGTAAAAGACCGAGGCGAAGCCGAGGTCTTCGAGGTTTTACATGTATTTCCTATACCATGTATACTGACCAAGTACGAAGTCAATATTAGATTTATCACGACAAACAGTCCGTATTTCAAATTCCAGAACGATAACCTCATGAATCCCGGTTTTATGATTGCACAACCGTTGCACCACCACCTACTCATGCAGTGACAATGCTGCACTAGGCACCGTTCAACTGCGCAACCCCTTAAAGGGGAACTACACCCAAAAATCAAAACTTCATGGTCCGTAGAGTTTTGGACGCTGAGTCGAATGGTGAAGGTCCCACTTCGATCCGACCAAGCGTTCCTGAGATATCTTCGGTTTAAATTGTACTTTCGGGGGACGCGCCATGACGTCATGCGGCCGCGACACACCCCCAACACACCCTTCTACGTCATTGAGACTTGCTTGCCTGGGCCAAGCTCAGAAGTACAGGTATTTTCGTATGTGAAAGGAATAGTTCTGACAAAGACGTCCTCACCATGAGCGATTCCGACGTATCAGACGAGCTTGAAAGCTCAGAGCCTGAGCTGAAAATGTTTGGCTTCGGGCATGAGCCGAAATTTTCAGGAAAGGATATGGCAGCGCAAGCGGTGGCTTCCAATCGGGCTGTAAATGTGGATGAAGCAGAAATTACTGCAATTGGAGAAGTCGCTCTCCATCAGCAACATCTGCCAACCGGTTGGCTGGGCTATTTCGAAATGAAGCGGCAGCCAAAGCAGCTCAGACAACCCTGACAATCCGTAAGTGTTTTCACAGTATAGTCCTACGTAATGCTCACAAATCGAATCGTTCTCTTCATATCGTAAATTGTGTGAAATTTTGTATTCGCACAGTACTCAGATCAATAGTCTCCTCACTCGTACTCCTGTACATGGAGTTTGCTGCGTAACATGGCTAGCATTATCTCCGTGCAAGTCGTGCAATGTGTATCGGTTCACTTGTGCTTTATCTCACATAAGTGGACTGCACTCAATTCGTATTGTGGCGAAATACATTCTCACCTTTTGCATTATCACTTAGTCTTTACAGAATGCTGAGACGTTCTCTTGTATTTCACGTAGCTGTGTACCAACAATTACGCTGTGCACTCTAGCAGCAGCAGCAGCAGCAGCACAGTAGCATATTGAGTGCGTTTTGCCCTACTGTGGTGTCTCATGACTGCATTACCGGAACAGCTCTGTCCTTGATAATCATTCTAAAATGTGTGCACATATCCGCCTGCGCCCCACACACACGCACGCACATGTGCTCACCTTGGTGGGCACATAGTATAGTAGTCACACATGCTCACGCACGCAGACACGCAATTTCACAAGCGCGTGCGCACACGAGTGCATAAGCATACAAGTGCCTGTGCACATGCTCGTGCACGCACACATGCGCGCACTCATGCACTTGGTTGCATACCCACACATCCCGCAGGATCACTAACGGCAATGCATCTACTACTTGTCATTCCATGTCCCTCCCGCAAATGGGGAGAGAATGACATAAAGGAGAACACAGAATAGATGACGTGAATATATTTGGAATGTTATATTACATTACACAAAAGCACACGCATGTGCGCGCACACACACACACTCACGCGCGTGCGCGCGCACACACACTCAGTGTCACGCGCGTGCGCGCGCACACACACGCGCGTGCACCCACACACACAATAATAATGTCTGTCTCTCACGCTCGTGCGCGCAAACACACTCACGTGCGCGCACGGGCGCGCGCACGCACACACTCACGCTCGTGCGCGCACACTCACGCGCGTGCGCGCGCACACACACACTCACGCGCTTGCACGCATACACACAATAATAATAATAATGTCTGGCTCTCATCTGCATCCATACTGAGAAAACCCAACGAGTTCCCGAATAGGTGTACACCGTTGCCGGTATGTGGACTATCTTCTCTCCTTGAACTGCGGGTCATTGCGTGATGTAGCTTATCAGCAGTACATACTGTGTGTTCATACAGGAAAAAAACATGCCAGCTAGAGGCGCTGGCGCTGCAAACAGTCCTTCCTATAACCTTGGGGCGGTGGCAGTGGTCGTAGCTCAACAGTGAGTCACTGCGACCGATGGTACAGCCGCTCTTGATCTTCTTCCTGTAAAATCAAGAACAGCAATCGCAGACAGGTTCATCGATCGCACGCAGCATAGCCTAGGGAAACAGGAGATCTACTGCCGTCCACCTCATCAGGCCGGTTTCGGAAAGCTTCACATTTCGTAGTGATGTAGTCCAAAACAATTCTACAAATGCTTTGGAAAAGAAAGAACTACATACAGTAGCTAGTGTTTTTGAAATATTGCACTCACCTCCGCTTTTCGACTGACACTTCACAGTGTGGCGTGCGAAAAAGGACGCACCACAGTTTCATCCACCAGCGTCCGCATCGGATGAGTGCCATAATATTCCTCCTGAAAATCCTCCTCTGCCAAATGGCTGGAACACACGCGAAGGATTTACATTGTAGTCCCTAAATTGTCAAGCAAATAATTATGTCGCTTGATAGCTGCTATGGTGCACTGCTCGGCCTGTGCCAAGCACAATCCTTCAGAAATTGGTGCAGGTTCATCCCAGGGGGGTTACCAGTAAGATTATAGTAGCCAACAACACAGCCAGAAGCCATGATGACACAAATACCCTCTTCTTCCATGGACAAACAGAAAGAAGATGCGAAATCCCAGTGTTTCTGGATCTGGCCAAAGGATCACCAAGTCTCAATGACGTCACGGGTTTGTGACGTCACGGCACGGACCCGAAAAGGACAATTGCAAACTGATATATCTCAAGAACGCTTGGTCGGATCGAAGTGGGACCTTCACCATTCGACTCAGCGTCCAAAACTCTACGGACCATGAAGTTTTGATTTTTGGGTGTAGTTCCCCTTTAAGCAGTCACATATAAATTATAAGCAGTCAATATAGCCCTAAGGAGTGAAATATGCAGGAATATTTGACTGCTTTAGGTATGGCAAAAATCTATGTGAGTCAATACTAAGGGAGTCATAAACATTATTACCGGTATTATGTAGGCACTATGCGCAGCTCAGTGGCACGAGGAAGGAAGCAGCAACAAAGCCTGCCAGTGCCGACAAGTACTTGGACTAGTTGGAGGCAACCAAGTACAGCGGGTCTTTTCAATAGTTGAACGATCATCTTGGTGGGTGGACCTTTCATTGTTTTTGTCCTTTGCCAGAGTCCTCAGTGCAGTGACAGGGTGCGGGGAGCACTTGAGAATACGTTGTTGAGTTAAAAATAATTAGTTTATCAACGTTAGTCGGTACGTGCTCGGTCATTGACAATGCCACGTCGCCAGTCTAGGAAAGCTTGTTTCGTGCGAGTAGATTTCTCACTTTCTTTGTGTTCCTGTCGGAAACAGTCGCTTTCTTTGAATCCCTGTGCGGCCCTGTTGACGTGTTGTCAAAGACGCTTTCAGGTTTGCTATCCTGGAAAGACAAGTAGCAGTCGTGATGCCGCTGTCTGAGGATCTCCTTCACCCGTCTGCGACGTCTGAGAAGCGGAAGCACAAGCTGAAGCGTCTAGTGCAGCGTCCCAACTCCTTCTTCATGGATGTCAAGTGTCGCGGCTGTTTCAAGACCACAGTCGTCTTCAGCCATACACAAACCGTGGTGGTCTGCAGAAGCTGCTCAACGATTCTTTGCCAACCTACCGGTGGACGGGTACGCCTGACCGAGGGCTGCTCCTACCGAGTAAAACTTGCGGAACTTGTAGGATGCGGCTGGGCGACGTTATGGTTGCAATCACGGCACTTGTAGATTTTATATTCGCACCAAACGCCTCTGGATGCTGCAATGATTATGTTCGTATCATAGCATGGACGACTCGGATAGCTCTATGCAGCCACTAAGAACTATGCCTGCACTGCGATGGCATTCGTATCTCTACTGTGTCTGGAGGATGCCTTGACTTGAGACGGGCGATATTGAACAGTCTTGGGGAAGGCCAATGTTGGTAAGGAGGAGGAAGGCATCAGCAGGAAGATTTCACTATTCCCGTACCAGCAAACGCTAAAGTGCTAGCTACTAACTAGTACTGCACAGTACATAATTCCATTGGCACTGATAGTGATACATATCCTTGTACATAGTTGATTATGATGAACGTTATCCTGCAGCCTGTATGCATGTACATAATGAATCCAGCCAGTGACGATACGTAGGATTCAAAGCGCCCTGAGCTGAAAGTGATGCTGAAGGAGATACAGCAATTAATTTGTTAACTTGAAATCCAGCTATACCAAGTAGTTTGTAATCTATCAGTGAAGCGCATAGAGTCGGCTGTGGGGCAACACAGGTATACAGTTGTCCCTTTATTCGTCCTTCTCATCAATGAAAAGAACAACTCCTAGGAATCATTGCGTTCTCGCCGTCTCCCTAGCTTTGGAAGTCTGCACACGGTCAGCCTCAGCTGCCCATCGTGTGTGCGTGCGTATGTACATGACTGTGTGTGTGGTGTGTGTGTGTGTGTGTGTGTGTGTGTGTGTGTGTGTGTGTGTGTGTGTGTGTGTGTGTGTGTGTGTGTGTGTGTGTGTACTGTGTGTGTATGTGTGTGTGTGTGTGTGTGTGTGTGTGTGTGTGTGTGTGAATGGTGTTGAATGGTGTAATCCCAGCACAAGTTGCTATGTCTAAAACATAGCTGTTCGCTATCATCGCTCCCGCGATGGGCATGTCTGAGGTCTGAGGTCTGAGGTGTGTGTGTGTGTGTGTGTGTGTGTGTGTGTGTGTGTGTGTGTGTGTGTGTGTGTGTGTGTGTGCGTGTGTGTGTGTGTGTGTGCATGTTGTGTTCATGCTCACTCGTACTCCAAGTCCGGTTGATTTCAGAGTTTTGTCTGTACAGGATTCGTACTCATGTATAGTCATGATACGAAGCACCCCTGAGCTCATGAGGCCGAATTTCATTTACTGATATTCGTACTTGAAGTACTTCATAACAGGGATCGATATACTGAATTGACTCTTGAGAGATAAAAAAGTCAATTCAGTATATAGTGGTGTGCACGGGTAGTCGGGTACCCGTGCTACCCGTGAGGACCTCGGGTAGTCGGGTACCGAATAGTACCCGAAAACCCGAGGTCGCAGATGATCATGTACAGTGCACGTGTACCCGCATGTCTACCCAATGCGCAAGGGAAGGGGCCGGTGTGCATTGTGGTCTTACCATGGAAACATTACCCGATCGGATACCTGTCACGGCTACCCGTGGAAAACTACCCGGACCCGATACCCGAAGAAAATGCTACCCGACTCAGCCCTAATTATTATAATGTGTCACCTGCATGATCGTTGCCTTTGGATAGCCTAGTGGAACACACCACTGAAACCATGTGTTGTTTGAACTTGTTTCCACCAGAGTCACGGTTTTACGACTCTCTGGTTTCCATGCCCACAGCCGGCTGCTGGTGGCTTATACCCACCTGGCTGGACTGAAACTCAGCTGTCAAGGCTACTGGCAATTGTATTTCCCGACTCCTATATTCTAGTCTTGGTTGGCATGACTATCAGCTATTGACATGCAAAAGTACAAGCAAGCCGCAATATTATAGCCACCATATTGTTATGATTTGAATCAATGGGGTCATGATTTCCACAACTCCCTGAATCAACCTATTGTTCACAGTGACTTGTATTGTGATACTGCTCGGATGTGGAGCTAACTAACTTAGCATACGCGGCTCCAGAATCCTCAACTGCAGTACATGTATAACACTGGGAGACCTGCATCCAGCTAACTTACTTATAAGTTATTAGTGGCAACTTGCACATTCATGAGACTGCATGTGTCACAACTAATCACGAGTCCAATGTTATGTACAGCGTGGAATTGCCCATTACAGGGCGTTATGGTGAGGAAGGTACAGACTGAGAGCGTTATTATGAATATCAAGGCACTGTGTGTACAGGTAATGCTAGCTGTAATTCGTTGCTGCCGTCTTTAAATGAAGAAAAAAACCCTATTACAAATGCGAATGTCCTCACAGAAGTGCCGCCCGGGCAGGGTACTAGGTGCAGCTATAGTCCACAGACTGTGCAGGAAACATACTGGAGAGAGGGAAGTATATGGTACGGTGTGGTTTGCGAGTATCAACACATCAGTTAAAAAAGGAAAGAAAAAGAAGGTCAATCCACTGTTTCAAAGCCAGCTTTGAAACAGCGCGTTTTGCAGCATTCAGCACGGAGATTGGCTGCTAGCATCAGCCATATAGAAGCAGCAGAATAGCAGCAAAAAGACATGCAGCGCATCAAGCTGCCGTAGCGTAAGGTGGTCACACAGTGACAGTATAAGTAAATGTTATAACTCAACAGAATAGATCAGCGCCACTGACTGTGCTCCATCAAGGATCAGGTCAACAGTAGGAGATCAGAGTGGTATCAGAAACTAGCTGCTGAATATTCAGCATCAAAGAATCACACAGCAACAGAGCACATGAACTGTCATACCTTGCATCCTGTGCACCACCTGCGCAGTGGTGAGTGTCGCCGGTGACAGTGATGATTGGTGTCCCATACTAGTGCAGTGGTCAGTTCAAGTCAGGTCACTGTCCACACTCAGTACACGTGTTCTGGGTCTCAATTCCACCCACGAAACAAGTGTTAGTAACAACATTACTTGGAGCTGCACAAAATATCAGCTGTTCTCAACGTCAAGGTCAGAACAGTTGGCTGCTGCCTTGTTGGGTTCCTCACATCGTGTATCTTCTTTGTTAGCATCGTCTTCTGCCTCACCACATTCTCCACCCATCACATCCACCTCTTCTTCTTCTTCATCATCTGCATCGCTTCCCTCCTCCTCCTCTTCTTCTTCATCATCCTCCTCCTCGCTTGTCTCAACTTCTTGCTCTGTTGGTTCACCATACATATAGAGACGGTTGCGATTGACAAACAAATCAGAATCGTCCTGCTCCTCTTCTGACTCAGATGGCGATGATGCATTACAGCCACCACCAGCACCAGTATCAGCAAGCGCAGATGCTTCCATTTCTCGCCCGGCTTGCTTTGAAGCTGCAGCTTCTTCAGCTTCGGCTTTTCGTTTAGCTTCTTCGTGTCTATCCACCGCTGCAATGCGTTTCTGGTACTGTCCCTTGAATGGAGGTTCAAACACTTTGGGCCAAAGACAATTCTCTTGCAAGTGTTGCACATGTTCAGGAAATAGAACATGAACCACTTCTGCCTTTACCTTCTTGCCTTCAGCTATAGGCTCCACGATAAGGTATTGGCCCCTTTGGATCCAAATCTTCTTTCTAAATTTCGACGGTATGCTGACGATGTACTTCTCTCCAGTCGTGGCCTTCACATCTATCAGGTAGTTACTTCTATGACATACCGCCCTGACGATCTCTTGGTCGGCTTCAGGCATGAAGTAGTGATCCACAAGCTCACGAACGACATGCTTCAGTTTAGTCTTCTCTGACGTGAACACCCTTGCTCTACCCTGCGTCAGCGACGTGTCCATGGCTGCTGCGATGGATAGCTTGGCTTTCAGCTAGATTCAAAGCACACCATGTACTATTGCTAGAGCGCAAATGCTTGCAATCTACAAACTTTTCTAGAAACTCACTGATATTCCACGTTTGCTCTTCTTCTCCAAGCAAGTACTGAAGTAGCTCATTCAAATCGCGACGCGAGTCCACGACTCCACGCACCACGTCACGAAAGGAAAAAATTGCATCATCATGAGCTCATTGTCGATGTCATCAAGATCAAAGATCATTGTTAGGCCTGTCCGAAAAATGTTCTGAATTTTTTTGGCATTTTGGGGTACATTTTGCATTTTTGCATTTTTTCTGAATTTTGCCCATTTTCGGTCGAATTCCAAGGTTTCAGCCAAGGTTTCAGCTCGACCAAGTCAAGTTCGGCTTGCTATTTCGGTGTCTTCTGTCCCTCTTGCCTTGGCTGAGACTCTAGCCTTACTTTGCACTGGCCTCCTAATCACACAAATGCGAACACATGGGTGTTTAGTTCTACATAACATTGTACAGTCATGTACATGCAGGTGTGATGATGTAAAACTACAAAGATGTGTTCTAACTAATACTTCTAGTGCAGGTACTGTATACTAGTACAATCCAGCAAGAGTAAGGCCTACTAAGGGAAACACAAGTGACTTGCACTGATGAGAAATGATTAGCTTTGCAGGCTTGTCAGCAAAAGGGGTGCACCGTGACAAGATTATGATCATGCAGTGCGTGTACATGTGACATGATTAGAGGTACATGTTGCTCATGTACCTGTACATGTACAGTGTGACATCCGGAAAAATCACATGGAAAACCAATAATAATTATTATATTTTGTGATTAACATGGCATGGCGGCCATTTTAGATTCTGGTTGCCATGGCAACGGATGCATTTTCTCTGCGTTTTGGGTTGTTTGGCTTTGATTTTTTGATTTTTTTTACATTCCCCTTTGATTTCTTGTTTGAATGTTGGCTAGAAAACCGTGCATTTTGCATTTCCATTTTCCGCAAATTAAAACACATTTTTCGGACAGGCCTAATCATTGTCCACAAAATGTTTTCAAATATTTTTGAATTTTGGTTGGATTTTCGCACTTTGAATTTTTTTGGAATTTTGGCCCCATCAGGATTGAATTTTGGCCGTTTTTGGAGAACGACAGTGATCAAGAGGGGGGTTACATGTACAGTCAACTTCGCGAATAACGACATTCGGCGGGGCATCAGAAAAGTGTCCTAGATCCTTATTCGCGAAGTGTCCTTATAACCGAAGTCCCATTTGAATGTATGTGAACCCATATTTTGTATAGTATGACATGCATATCAAAATCAAGCTCTTTTCTTGCTCTATGTCAATGTGTACTTTATTTTCATATCGCAGTTGAAAGGAACTAAAAATTCTATATGCAAGGGAAATAAATTGAAAAATATTTTTTGAGCCATCTACATATGTACAGGGCCAGGGACATGTACATGTATGATGATTACTGTTGTGTATCGGTTGAAAGACTTTTCATGGCTCATTTTTGTTGTGATCCTTTCGTTTATTTTGGTTTGTTTTGCGTTCTGCTTGCATGTATAGTTTGTACATAAACCAAGTAACGGTTACGTCATTGTCCTGAGTTATGTTTTGTTTGCGCATGCTCATATGCTGCCATAATGTTAGTCTTTTTCTTCAGTTATCAGTTTACCTCGTCGTGTCCGTCTCCGTCTTGTCAAGAAATTATGTAGAACTCTTACGCCCACACTAAAGCTGGTTTTTCTCGTCTTGGCTACATAGGTTCTGATCGGTGGAATATGCTGCCTTCCACTGTTCGCTCTTGTACAGATTATCGCCCATTTGTTCGTTCATGCTTAACCTTCCTAGGGGCTCCCGTAAGAAGACCATAGGTCTGTGGGAAACACCCTAGTAAAATAAATAAAATAATAATAATAATGCCTGGTTCACACTAGGCCGATTTTCCGGCCGACATGGACTCGTACGAAAAATCCTCAAGATCGGGGCGAAAATTGCGTAGTGTGAACTGTGTTGTCGTACAGGGTTCCGACAAATCTGCGGCGATTTTCTTGTCGCACTAGTTTTCGGCCAAGTATCGACTGGTCGATATTTAGCCGAAAAGCCGGCCGATTTTTACTGCTTGCACGTGATGGAGCGGGATTCGGACCAATCACAGTAGGCTTTTCACCATGACAGCAAAGAGCGTCGATGTCGAGCTCATGACCTCTTGTACTTTTGTACTCTTGAGTCTTGATGAAATGTAATGTCCTACCAAAATTTCATAACCCCCATGAACTCTTGCTTTTATGGATAATCGATGCGACTCTATTGCGAGTGAGTCGTTCCCCGTGTACATGTGTGTGTGAACAGGCCGTCCGACTCAGTCGACACAGTCGGCAGACTCCATGTCGGAGTCGGTGTCGGAGCACCGGCCGGAAAATCGGCCTAGTGTGAACCAGGCTTTAGGCCGAGTAAAAAAAATTACTAGATGATCGTCCTTTTTTTTGGAAAAATCGGGGAGGGCGGGAGGATTTTATTTTTATTTTTTTACTTTTTACCCTCTCATGCACACAGTGTACACAACAACATCAAGGTTTTTTTTCTCTTTTTTTCTTTTTTTTTCTTTTTTTCTTTTTCTTTCTTCAGCAGATCGATACTGACGTTGTGATATACTAGTAGTATGTGGTCCATATAGTAAAGAAAGTATTAAACAAAGCGTGCACATGTTTCCTGCATCCGCGATCGGTAAAAAACCAACGATTTCGGCAAAAACTCACGATTTAAAAAATAAAATATTTCTTGGGGCGCTGACAAAAACTGGGGCGGACGGGGACGATCATCTAGCTTTTTTTTTTACTTGGCCTTAGTTCAGTTTCGTTGTTGTGTGTGGCGGGTCGGATGGGCAGGGAGGCTGGGCCCCTGACGCCTGGACAACATGTGCGGGTGCACAAAAATTACTGTACAATCATGACTACATGCATGTAGGTGTGCTGGTAAATCCAACACTTTTGAAGCAAAATAAAAAAGGAAGAAAAAGCCCCCCCCCCCCCCCTTTGGCTGCATTTTCTTTTCTTTATCCATCACCATAGCTATAGGTTCTGGTACTTCTGCATGACAGGTACATGTACTTGACTGACAGGTACTAGTATACTTGAAATACATGTAGCTGTCCAAAGCCCAGAAAGTCGTTATTCAAGCAGTGAATATGACCTCGGGGCACTAAAAGCATGTCGCTATTCGCGAATTGTCGTTATTCAGATAGTCGTTATATCCGAAGTTAAATGCATACAGTTAGATGGGACTTTGCTCCGGGCATGGAAATTCGGTCGTTATTCGCGAATTGTCGTTATATCCGCAGTCGTTATTAGCGAAGTTGACTGTATGTACTCTTGCAGTGATGTCACCATGGTCACACCAGGAGAGTACATGTGCTGCTCAATATAATAATATTTATTACCAAGGGTGTCATCGATTGGCGAATCTGGATTGAGTGCGAGCAGGCGGTGTGGTCCGAGCAACGCTGGCCCAATCGAACAAAACAAGGGTGTAGTACGCAAAATATACGCATATCGTACAAAGATTCTGTGAAAGCTGTCCAAAAACGGCAAAGTCCATTTCCACTCCAGCCACTTGCACTCCCGGTGTGGGGGCCGGTGTGGTCGGATTCCACTCCAAGTACACCTACTCCGGATTCGACCAAACGATCACGCTCACTCTGAGCACATTTGCTCGGGATTCGTCCAATCGATCATGCCCCAAGTTTGACATGTGAAAACAGTACAGTTGAACATCGATTATCCGCACATCGACTATCCGACCATTCGATTATCCGTAACAGTTTTTTTTGGGCGCACGTGCCGTAGAGTACGCACTGTGCATGTGGTGAGCCATTCAAAAAATACGAAAATTTTGAAAAGTAAAAAGTAAAAAGGTCGTGCGGCTAGTAATAACCACTGAAAGTGTGTGAGTGACAGTTTTTTCTTATCCAGAACATTTGCCTTATCTGAACACCGCCTGACAGTTGTCTGCCCAGAGGTAGTCGGATAATCGATGTTCAACTGTACTTTCAAATACACACAGCTTTGACCTTTGCCCTTTTGACACCCATCCCCGAATTTGGAAGCACACAGATACACATGATAAGCAGTTTGTGGTTTTTTTTTTTTTTTTTTTGGAACTACTGGGTAGTAGAGTAGTAGTAGAAGAATTTATTATTTTGATAGGGAAGGCCCTACAGACGTTGCCGTCTTGTTACAGGGAACCCTACAGGGCCGTAGCAGGCGGTCCGGCAGGTCCGGCAGCTGCCGGACCAATATTCGGCCAAAAAAAAAAAAAAAAAAAAAAAAAAAAAAAAAAAAAAAAAAAAAAAAAAAAAAAAGGGGGGGAGCTCACCCATGTGAGAGCAGCTCAGGATGTCCATCCATGATGATGATGATGTGTGCAATAAGTAGTATAGAGGTATTACATAGTAGTGCCGGCAAGAGTTATGGACTCTTGGTGCCGGTAGTAGACCTACATTGCACATGTCATCAGGAATATGACCCTGCTGAAGGTCATGAGGACAGTCATGCCCGTGAATGTTCCTACTCTGTACTTCCGGAAACGTGTTCGGATTCTTTTCTTCCTCCAATTCTTTCTAGATAGGGTTTGTACCAAAGATAGTCCATTGCAATACACTTTCTCCTCCTCCAAAGGTACATTATGGTTCTTTTATCACATGCATTTAGATACTGTTGCTAATACTTGCTATACCTTCACAGGCTTCAACAAGTTCTGTTTGGACGGACACAACATGCTGATGCCCTTTTCCTGACTCATGCAGAACTTTGACGTCCTTCTTCCTTTTCTCGTCCTATGTCACTCTACATGGTCACGATTACATGCATGTACATGTACATTGTACAATGTATGTACATGTTTTTTGTTTTGTTTTGGCGAGGTAACGGCCTCTTTTACGGGCAAGATAAAGTCATGTACATGTACCGGCATATGTATGAGTATGGGGGGGGGGGAGGGGGGCATCAAAGTCTGATCTTGCCGGACCAACCTAAATGGGGCTGCTACGGGCCTGCCCTAAGTGCTCTTTACAGAGCGAAACAAAAACGGATAGATGCTCAACCTGACGACACGAGACAGGCAGAGAATTCCACCTATCAGCGCCAAGGAAAGAAATAGAGAACATGCCATATCTAGTGCGAAGGACTAAAGGGACCGTCACTTAATTTTTGCCGACTACCCGCCAAAAAAATCTTTTCGTTTCACGTGCCAGACACGTCCGCGAGCGCGTACGACTCGCGCTCGCCCGCGCTACCTTTCACGTCAAGCAATCTGTTCACCATGTTCACGCCACATGGATAGCGCGTACATGCAGACATGATTGAAGACTTGCAAAATCAATTTTTTTACAAGTCCAGGCGCTAGGCGCTAGGCGCTAGGCCTAGGCAGTACTAATGCCAAAGGCAAAGGCTAAAATGCCCAGGCAGCTGACTTTATTTTCGGAGAAACACTACTCATTGTAGTAAAAAGTAACAATGAATAGCGACATCATCTAGGAAGGATCGCTACCCTAACGCAAAGGAAAGGCCTTGCGCGGCTGCTCTACGAAGTGTTGAAGAAAGACTCATCAAAGTTAGTTGGTGGACGAACAACTCGCTGGCGCCGGAAAACTTGGCCCCCAACGATGGTGTTTGGTGAATCATCAAGCATAATGTCTTGTAGCAGTGTTCACCGAGGAAGGAGAACGCTCTAGCCGCTGCTGTTGTCCGTTTCATCCACGTTGGGCGTTAGCTGCACCGCGCCTATTGTGTTTTAGTATTCCATGGACACACATTAGCATTCAGAGCGATTGTGGAGCCACAATTTACTTCACACAGCGTTGTATTGTCCACGAGCGCAAACTTCATTATCAGCAGTAACTGTTACTCTTCATCCTACATGTAGATTTGGAGTATACACGGCCTTGTCATGACAGCGACAGCTCTACAGAGTGTTCAAGTGAGAAACATTAATTTCAATTGTTGGTGGACGAATAAATGGCTGGTTCCGAAAAACGCGGCCTGCACCGATGGTGTTTGGTGGATCATCAAACAGGGTGACCAGCAGTGTTCACCGAGGAAGGAGAATGCACTCGCCACCACTCCGATTCATCCAAGTGGGCGTTAGCTGCGCCGCGCCTATTGTGTTTTAGTATTTCATGGACGCACACTAGCGTTCTCAGCGATTGTGGAGCCACAACATATCTTCATGCGGCGTTGCACTGTCCAAGAGCAGAAACGTCAGCAGTGACCCATCATCATACATGTAGATTTGGAGTATACACACCATGCGCCAATGGGCCTTGGCACAACAGCGGCAGCTCTACGGAGTGTTCAAGTGAGAAACATTTGTTTCGACTTTTGGTGGACGAACAAATCGGTGGTGCCGAAAAACGTGGCCTGCGCCGATGGTGTTTGAACCATCGAGGGGCTCCGGAAGCAGCAGCTGAGCCAGATCAGCCAGTCTTGCCAACTCTCAGTTGCCGGACTCCGTGCTGCAGCTAGCAGCACTGGCACCAGCCGGAAATATTTTTCCGCCGATACCCGTTACTTCCAGTTCTGTCAAGGGCATGACTGGAATCCATTGCCAGGTGATGACTTTTTACTTTATGTGTTATTTTGCTGCCGAGTTGTTCAGAACTTTTCAGCCCCGATCTGTCCATGTCTACATGTCGGCCATCCGCAAACTTCAGGTGGAAGTTGGCTTTACCTACCCGTCGGGCCCAATGACTCTCCTCGCAAGGTTCCTGTCGGGCATCAACAGGTCATCATCGACACAGCGTCATCGCCTGCTGATAACCACTCAACTTCTCAGGGAGATTAGCCGGCATGTTGCCTTTCCACGGATGTGGCACCCGCGGCTCATGACAAGGCCATGCTAAGGGCAAACTGACTGCTTGATTTTAGCTTTACATTACCGCAGTCAGTCCAGCACAATACGCCAATCGTATTTCACTATAACTCGCGTGTCATAATTGGGGATATGGGCTGCTCGGCCCTATATCCCTGATATGCCAAATAGACGAAAAGTGTGTTCTGAGCCTGTATCGCGTATAATAGGCTCATCGTAAAACAAATAATAAAAGTCTTAAAAATCAGGGTTCACGTGACACTCGGGTTCCAGCCAAGTTTTCCGCATCCGCAGGAACGCTACCCCCCTCTTGAATCATAGTATAGTGGACTCTGCAATGAACAGATTATGAAACTCCCTGCAGATTTACTACGGTCATCTCTGGTGACTGGTCTTGGGGCACCGTGGAAGCTGTGACTGGTTGCCAAGTTTAGTTTTGTGACTGATCATGGGGCATTTGTGACTACTTCGAAGCACAGCTCTGATTGATCACAGAGTCTTACTGTTGTGAATATTTATATCGATTGAGAAGTCAAGCAGCCACGGGGCGCTGGCCTTGCAGCTGTGAGTATGCATACGGTACATATTCACATGACTCTATTGTATGCTGGACACTGCTGGTCCATTGTTGCAGTGTGTAAGTGAACTGCAGAACCTAATCCGTGATGAAACACCTACTACTCTTGAAAGACTGAATGTTTGAGCTAATAGTCTTTTACTTCACTCTCATGCTGCTCATATAATTATACCATACGCCAGAAGACCCTAAGTTAGTTCTAAGATGTTGTGGACCATGTGACCATGTGGTACTTTCACTCTACAGCCAAGTCAACCTCTTCGTCAACACACAGGGTTTTCCTCAGACACAAGCGAATGGTTTACTCCACTCTGGAGAAGGACACAGTTTGCTCTCTCGAACACCAACCGCAGATGACTACGGAATGTAGGAAGTGCAACAACTGCTAGAATATTGAACTGTCGTCCACACAAAACAAATAAAGACAACTGAAAACCAAAACACATGCAACTGCCAACATGCATGTAACAGCGACTGCAAGCCAGAACTACAGACTCCGCGCAGGGAGGAACAGGGGAAACAGAGGTAACGCTTCCGACTCCGAGAGCTTCGAATAGCAGTGGACAAAACAATACATCAACCTTACGTGTCACCTTGCGCTACCGCAAACGAACACCTATGGATGCACAGTGCAGCACAGACTCAGTGCATGCACGGTGTAATAACTGGAGTACATGTAAACCGACAACGGTCACCTTGCACCCTATGCAGTAAGTTACATAGGCTTGACGTGAAAGGTAACGCGGGCGAGCGCGAGTCGTACGCGCTCGCGGACGTGCCTGACACGTGAAACAAAAATATTTTTTTGGCGGGTAGTCGGCAAAAATTAAGTGACGGTCCCTTTAGTCCTTCGCGTTCGGCGAAGGACTAAAGGGACCGATTCAGGGCAGATCGTGGCATGATGGTGACTCTGATTGGTGACCCATGCGAGAACACACATTACACTTGCGGGTGGCCTTGCACTGAGTTGACCGGTGCCCTGTGCGCAAACACACAAAGCAACGCTTCTGTTCAATCAGTTATTCTTTCCGCTGTGCTACTGTTGTGTATTTCGCGCACATACCATGCTTGATGTTTCAAGCACCTTCGGCGCAGGCCACGTTTTTCGGCACCGACGATTTGTTCGTCCACCAAAAGTCGAAACAAATGTTTCTCACTTGAACACTCCGTAGAGCTGCCGCTGTTGTGCCAAGGCCCATTGGCGCATGGTGTGTATACTCCAAATCTACATGTATGATGATGGGTCACTGCTGACGTTTCTGCTCTTGGACAGTGCAACGCCGCATGAAGATATGTTGTGGCTCCACAATCGCTGAGAACGCTAGTGTGCGTCCATGAAATACTAAAACACAATAGGCGCGGCGCAGCTAACGCCCACTTGGATGAATCGGAGTGGTGGCGAGTGCATTCTCCTTCCTCGGTGAACACTGCTGGTCACCCTGTTTGATGATCCACCAAACACCATCGGTGCAGGCCGCGTTTTTCGGAACCAGCCATTTATTCGTCCACCAACAATTGAAATTAATGTTTCTCACTTGAACACTCTGTAGAGCTGTCGCTGTCATGACAAGGCCGTGTATACTCCAAATCTACATGTAGGATGAAGAGTAACAGTTACTGCTGATAATGAAGTTTGCGCTCGTGGACAATACAACGCTGTGTGAAGTAAATTGTGGCTCCACAATCGCTCTGAATGCTAATGTGTGTCCATGGAATACTAAAACACAATAGGCGCGGTGCAGCTAACGCCCAACGTGGATGAAACGGACAACAGCAGCGGCTAGAGCGTTCTCCTTCCTCGGTGAACACTGCTACAAGACATTATGCTTGATGATTCACCAAACACCATCGTTGGGGGCCAAGTTTTCCGGCGCCAGCGAGTTGTTCGTCCACCAACTAACTTTGATGAGTCTTTCTTCAACACTTCGTAGAGCAGCCGCGCAAGGCCTTTCCTTTGCGTTAGGGTAGCGATCCTTCCTAGATGATGTCGCTATTCATTGTTACTTTTTACTACAATGAGTAGTGTTTCTCCGAAAATAAAGTCAGCTGCCTGGGCATTTTAGCCTTTGCCTTTGGCATTAGTACTGCCTAGGCCTAGCGCCTAGCGCCTAGCGCTAGCGCCTGGACTTGTAAAAAAATTGATTTTGCAAGTCTTCAATCATGTCTGCATGTACGCGCTATCCAATCCAGCCATGTGGCGTGAACAGATTGCTTGACGTGAAAGGTAGCGCGGGCGAGCGCGAGTCGTACGCGCGCTCGCGGACGTGGCTGGCACGTGAAACGAAAAGATTTTTTTGGCGGGTAGTCGGCAAAAATTAAGTGACGGTCCCTTTAGTCCTTCGCATATCTAGTACGAGTACTGTAAAAACCATGGCAACGGATCGAATTTTTTCTGCATTTTGGGGGATTTTTTGAATTTTTCTAAAACATGTTGACCGTTTTTTTCGCTTTTTGATAATCATAATCAAAAGTTCAAAAGAGAACTTCGCGGAAACTCTTGACTCTTGATGATGTCATCAAGAGCCTGCGAGCCGCGAGGCCGAGGCTAGCTGCGAGCAGTGCGAGTGCGAGGCTGCGACATCAAGAGCCTGCGTCGACCATGCATGGTCGACGCGTCATCCAAATCTTGTTATGGTAACACTAACAGGTTTGAATTTTGTGACGTGCCGCCGGCGCGTGCCATCGATCGCATCCGTCAAACACAAAGTGTGCCGAGCCGAAACTGTAATCTTGAAAGCCTCACATTGCACAGTCAACCTGGCCTTCACTTTTTAATAGGAAATCTCACCGAAAGTGTTTGAATGATCTCTATGGTTAGGTACAGCTACTGCTGCTCGTGCTCCAGTAGTTCCCAGTAGTTCTTACCTGGAACGAGGTGTTTTTGTTGCTGAAGAGTATGAAGCGTGGTGGTGCTGCCAAAAAGGCCAAACCTGCCTCAAGGCCGGCTGTTAGTGTCCAACTGCCACCTGGAGAAACTCTCACTGACCTGAGAAAGCACTCGTGGAAGGTGGGTAATCCAATCGGCCGGGGAGGATTTGGAGAGATCTATCTAGGTACGTATGAACCCCATTTTGATCCTAGTAGGTCAGCACACGAAGCACAGAAGCCAATATATAATTTTTTCGACTAGCCCTTTCATTCCATTATACTTCAGGTCGAATACAATGGTGATGAACAAGGTAGTAAGCCAGTCCTTATAACCGGCACTTTTGGCGGGCAGAGCATTGACAAAAACAGCACTTGAAAAATAGCTAGTAGGTAAGAACACACAAACAGAGAAAATGAGGCCGAACCTGATAGCAAGGAAAAATAAAATTTCCAAAGCCAGATTTAAATCAGGCCCGAACGTACCTTGCCAGAGTGCTCAAACTGACAAGTCAGTGAGCTGTGTGTAATGCAAACAGCAAAAGCACTACCCCGCTTGAGAGTGCTGTGTGTAATGCAAACAGCAAAAGCACTACCCCGCTTGAGAGTGCTGTGTGTAATGCAAACAGCAAAAGCACTACCCCGCTTGAGAGTGCTCCACTACTACATAAACAGGAGCGAAATACATGTACTCAATATTCGTACATACTCATTCTTACTGTCCTCTGGGTTGACATAGCAAGTTCAATTATAATGTAAGTATCAGTTGTGCTTTTTGCATTACGTACTTGATGTACGAGAGACGGTGTCTATGATCACATCAATGACCATGCCTGACTGCAGTATATCATAATTCTCTAATTGGAGAGCACGTGCTCCTTGGCCCTGGCTTTGCTGGCCTGGTTCGTGTACATGAAGCAACACATCACTATGTGATGTCACCACACATGATCAGTTGGTCGCGTAGCATTTGCGAACACCGCACACACACACACACACACACACACACACACACACACACACACACACACACACACACACACACACACACACACACGTGCTTGCACGTACACGTGCGTGGCCATTTTTCTTCCCTGATGCCTCAAGTCTAATGTGTCATATTGTTTTGTATTCTCCCATGTTCTCTTCTTCATTTCAGCTTCGCCAGCCAGTACATGTTCACGCAGTGTGCCAGCAAACGCCCAGCATGTTATTAAAATTGTACGCAATTAGATGACAGTGCGCCCTTCAACTTGGCGTCTCCCTTTCTCATTCTACTCTCTCTCCATCTCTCTCTCTCTCTCTCTCTCTCTCTCTCTCTCTCTCTCTCTCTCTCTCTCTCTCTCTCTCTCTCTCTCTCTCTCTCTCTCTCTCTCTGTCCCTCTCTGTCTCTCTCTCTCTGTCTCCACCTGCACCATTGATAATTCATTTCTTTGTCACTTCAAATGTCCATACGCAGTCCCCTGCTGTATGTATATCTGTTTCATCTTCCGCTTGAACTGGACGTTGCCATTAATGCCAGTCTGTGTACCTTCTCCATATATGCTATTTTGAGTTCACAGCTGTGTCTCTGTCTTTGTTCGTGTGACTGGCCATCTCCAGGAGCCTTTTGTCAATGGCCCTTTGTTCTCGGAGGTCAGCTTCTATACACGGTGTGCTAAGAAGGAAACAGGTCAGGCCCGGTGCTGGTATAGTGCTTGTACTGCGTGTTTGATGTAGAGACGTTCCTAGCTACACGTACTTGAGAACGGTTTTATTCACAACACCATGAAGGAAGAGTCAAAGCAAAAAGATAACCCAATTTCGGAAATAAATAGAACACAAAATACTCAATTGAAATATATACACGCACTGCTATCAGCATGCTTACATGATCGTGGCACCCAGTGGATAGAAATTGATCACTGTGTCAGTAGACAGAGCTTGCTCGTACAGCAGAGAGCGACAGAGACACGCAGAGACACAGGATTTAAAGGGGAAGTCCGGTGAAAAATTTAAATTTCAGGGTCGGTAGAGTTTCGGGCGCTGAGTCGAATGGTGTTGGTCCCACGTGTCTCCGACAAAGCGTTCTCGAGATATTTCCGTTTGAAAAACTGAGTTTCGGGGGCTGCGCCATGACGTCATGCGGCCGCGCCACACCCTCCGCAACGTCATAGCGTGCAGCTAGGTCAAAAGGAGTGCGTGAAAGCAATAGTGTCAGTGCTATTTCAAATGATTTGGCGACTGATATTAGGTGGTGCAAGCGACCCCAAGACCTAACTCCTTGTGAGAGTGAGGATGCAGCCATGGCTGACCTTCATGGGTTTGGTCGGGGGGTATTGTAGGGCTGAGAACCTCGGTATCCAGCTGAAGAAATGGCCGCGCGGGACGGTCAAGAGTGAGCGCTACTGAGTTTCCGACTGATGAAGAAGCAGTAGCTATTGCAGACGAGGCTGATATAATTATCAGATCGCTGAAGAGCAGGGTCGCCAAAATGGAGAAGAGTGATGCGAGTGCTCTAAATGTTGTTCCATACCGATTCGCTTAGACTCCAGTAGCCTGCCACATGGTGATGTTTTGGTGCGAACTTGGCATATTTCGGACTACTCAATTGGAGAACAGTGCAGGCTCTTTGAACCATGGCCCGGGCACGACTCTTCGCTCGCAACGCTATGGAATCTGAAAGTTCTAGGTCCGGGAGCTGTTCGCTGTTTTGTCACTTGTCACGGTTGTGCACTCATCGCTGTAGCATAAAATATGAGGCCGGACTGGAGCGGAAAACTAAAATTTTCGTTCTCAAAGCACAACCACCGGCACCGGCAAGGAGAAACGCACGTTCTCTGACTACATGACTGTACAAGTGTAGTACTAGTACATGACACGTCCGTGTGTTGACTAGTTTTCTGAGTCTTGTTGTAGCGCTAGCGAGCTAGCCCAGCACGGCAGTGCGGGACTAGTTCCGTGTGTGATGAGTCTAGTTTGTTGACTGCACTACACGTCTACAGCTAGCTAGCATGCACGCAGCGCATTGCTAGAGCCGTAGAGCTAGAGGCATGCTGACGGAAAAAGTCCAACTCGGAAACGGCTAAAATACGGTATAACCTCGAGGTTTACCGAGCTGAAAATCATAGGGTACGTAGCGTTTGTAACACTGAATCGAATGGTCTTGGTCCGAAGAAGCTGCGACAAACGGTTCCCCAATCGAACGCGCTCCAATTATGGCCGTTTTGTACACAACTAGATGGTGTGGCTACCTGGCTGCACGCTGTGACGTCATCACCTGGATCTGGGTGAGGCGCGCTCAAATTCGCACATGTTCGATTGGGCGTATCTGACGAACCATAGGCCGCAGCCTCCTCGGACAAAGACCATTCGACTCAACGCCCCGAACTCTACGGACTGTGAAATTTAAATTTTTCACCGGACTTCCCCTTTAAATGCTAGCGTCATTCCCAGGCACATCTGCTCTGAGGATATTCCTGGTAGCTAGTAGTACATGTATGATGATGTACTGCATATGAGGTATTCTTCATCAGGCATGAGGAACGGCCAGGCCATTTTGGATGTCAGTGGGTAGCTCTTGTGACTTTGTCTTTGTTTTTTTCCGTTTGCCCTTGTGTTGCTATGCAGTGGAATCATTCAGGGCGGAGAAGAAACTAAAGCACCTTGGCATGCCCATATACATTGCTCATGGTAAACACGACTTCCGTGGCTCAGAATACAGGTATGTTAGCTGCTGCTACTGCTGCTGCTGCTATATGTGTCTCTCTACCATTTGCTGACCTGTCCTGCTCGTGTCCTTTCCAGACTCTGTATACAGAGCGCATACATGTACATT